GAACCGGCGGCCCGTCGAGCAGCCGCGCGTCACGAGAAGGTCGACAGACATGAGTGTGAGTCCTGAGCTGGGGACGTGTAGCATGTTGTGCAGCCGGACAGAGTGTCCGACGCGTGTCCACTGGTGCTACTCCCCTGTTCCCACGACATCGGCCAGCTGGTTATTGCCCCACTTAATCTGCTGTGGCGCGCCGGCGGGGATGTAGTCATTTAGCAGGGAGCGGTCACCCGTGAGATGGTGCAGGGAGCCAGAGTTGAGGACGACCCGTGAGCTGCTGCAACTGCACCGACGCCCCCAGCACCCGCGGTGGCAGCACCGCCAGCAGTAACACCGGCGGAGGCCAACCGAACACGACAGCAACGGCAAAGGGCAACTGGACAACGGGAGTCCCGGCGCCTGCACCGCCAGTACGGCCACCTTGGTTACCGCGCGCTGGAGCAGTTGATCAGCAAGCAGCTGGTGCAGGGATCACAGGTCACTCCAGCGGCACTACGACAGGCGGCGGAGGCCGTCTGCGAGGCCTGTGTCACCGCGAAGGTTACAGCAACAGCCCACCCCAGCCGTGGCAACCGGCCGCAGCACACACTGGAGGTCGTGCACTCTGACCTGTGCGGGCCCATGCCGGCCACGGGCCGAGGTGGGGCACGCTACTTGCTAACACTGCTGGACGATGCCGCCAGTCTGTTCACCGTTCACACACTGGTCAGCAAGAACCAAGTGGGCGAAGCGCTGCAGGACATGGTGATGCAGCTGGAGGCTCGCCACCTGAACCATGCACGGGTACGCACACTGCATAGTGACAACGGTGGCGAGTATGTCGCCACGCAACTGGAGCAGTGGCTATGCCAGCACGGCACCGCGCACACCCACTCGGCGCCATACACCCCAGAGCAGAACGGAACAGCGGAGTGGCTCAATCGCGGGCTATGCCGTATGATGCCGCGCTCTCGGACAGCTACTGGCCGGAGTCTGTGCTCTGCACCAACCTCCTGCGTAATGTGGGCCCCTCTCAGGGCCAGGAGGACACACTGTGGGCAGCTTATCATGGTGTCATCCCCGACATCAGCCACCTGCACACCTTCGGCTGCCTGGCCTATGTCCGCATCCCAGCCAGCCAGCAGGATAAGCTCGGTCCCTGCACGAAGGCGGGAACCTACTTTGGACCGGAGCGCGGCACGGCCGCCCACCGCGTCCTCGTCGAGGCAAGGTGACCGTGAGCAGCGACGTCACCTTCAACGACGACCACCGTGGCCCGGCATCTCAACGGGCGGGCACCCCCTTCGGCACCAGCCCCGCCGGCAGTGACCCCGTCGGCGGCTCTCCATCGCCCACCACACCGCCGACTCCAGTGGACGCCCCGCCCCCAGTGAACCCAGTGCCCCTCCTCCACCCCAACACTCGCAGTCAACGGCAACCCCTTCACCCGCCGCTGGCCCCGGTCAGCCTCGCCAACAGCAGCAGCGGTGGCAGCGGAGATTCGGGTAGTCCACCGCTGCTTGACAAAGTGTCTGGTGGTAGCACCGATCGCGCTGAGAATAACATGCCCGACAGCAGTGGTGACGGCGGAGGCAACAGCGTGGCGCAGGAGCCGCGCAACTATGAGGAAGGGGTGGTGAGTCCACAAGCTGACAAGTGGAAGAGCTCGATGGATGACGAGATCCTGTCGCATCTCTCCAACAAAACACGGAAGTTGGGCACACCGCCACCCAGCACACGCATCCTGGACGGCCGCTGGGTTTACAAGATCAAACAGGAGCCTGGCAGTGAGGTACGCTATAAGTCGCGCTTGGTGGTGAAAGGCTTCGAACAGTGCGCGGGCATAAACTACGCCCACCACGCCTCCCTGCGGGCACTTCTGGCTGTGGCAGGGGCCAGGGGTATGACGGTCCATCAGATGGACGTCAAAACGGCTTTCTTGAACGGCGACCTGGCAGAGGAGCTGTGGATGCGACAGCCACCAGGTTACAGCAACGGCGACCCGATGCAGGCGTGCCGGCTGTTTAAGTCCGTCTACGGCCTCAAGCAAGCCCCGTGCTGCTGGTATGAGAAACTGGCGGCGGTGTTGGGCAAGCTAGGCTATGAGCCGTCTATGTCCGACCTCGTGCTATTCGTCAAGTGTGGGTCCAATTGCTCAATTTATGTGCTCGTGCACGCTGACGACATGCTGATGGCGGCGGACAACCTGCAAATGGTCACGGCCGCCAAGGCAGCCATAGGTAGTTGCTTCACAGTACGTGACCCTGGAGAGGCGCGCTACTACCTCGGCATGGAGATCATCCAGGACCGCCTCAACCGCAGCATCATGCTCATGCAGCCGCGCTCCATGGAACAGCTGCTTCAGCACCACCACCTGGAGAACGCCAAGCCGCGCGCCACCCCGCTGCCTCAGGGCACGCGGGTTCTGCCAGCCAGCGACACCCAGCCGACACTGGCGGACGGCAGTGACTACCGCGCGCTGGTGGGCGAACTAAACTACCTCGCTACCAGCACATGCCCAGACATCGCACACGCTCTGAGCATGCTCGCACGGCACATGTCTGCCCCCACCAAGGCCCACATGGGGCTCGCACTGGGTGTGCTGCGTTACATCTCTGGCACCCGCATGCTCGGTCTACGTTACTGTGTCGACAGTGGCAGCAACGCCAGCATCTTTGGTAGGTACAGCGATGCAGACTGGGCCGGCGACCCAGCCACCCGCCGGTCCACCAGGGGCTACACATTCTTGCTCAGAGGTGCGGCGGTCAGCTGGAGCAGTCAGTTGCAGCGCACCGTGGCTGCCTCGTCCGTGGAAGCCGAGTACCAGGCCGCAGCAGCAGCCGTGCACGAGGCATTGTGGCTGCACAAGCTGGCGAGCGACCTGGACCTGTCCCCGGGTGCTGTCAACATCCAGCTGAATTCGCAAGGCGCGCTCAGCCTCGGCAACAACCCCATCACGTCGGTGCGCTCCAAGCACATCGAAAGGGCCGCGTGTGGTGAGGTGACGCTCAGCTATTGCACAACCGACGACATGTTGGCTGACATCCTAACCAAGGCACTGGGCGAGGTCAAGTTCGTGCGCTGCCGCACAGAGCTGGGCGTCACTTAGATCGCCAGAGGAGAAGTGCTGAAGGCTTTGAGGAGTTGTTTTGAGCTAGGCTTTAGGGGGGTGCCGAGGGTGCGTGAGCAGGCGCCCGAATGGGCAGGTCAATGCCTGAAGGGACGCCGTAGGCAGTGTGTACGGTGCAGACGGCACTGTTTCCCGTGTGTGTGTTTGTGCAGCTGTGCCAGACCGCATAGTCAACAGGCTGAAGGCTGGCAAGCTGTGTTTGTGTCTGCTGAGTGTTGAGCATCCGGCCTGGACCGCGGACTTGGCGGCCAAGCTAGCTCGTCGGTACTAGCAGTTTGCAGTCAGGCCCCTGGTGCAACTCGAGGGGGCGTGTTGATGCCGTGGGATGCCGTGTCGCCCCGTGGCCTGTTTAGGTATCGTGTCAGGCTGTCGTGAGTAACAGCTGTGGCCTGTTTAAGGCCGCCCGTCAGACTTCTGTGAGCAACGGCTGGCAGGTTCTAGAGTACTGCCAGCTCGTCCATCAGGATAGGCTTTCCAAGCCTTTATAAGGCTCTGCTGTTTATCGGTAACAGCACCTCAGATTCACACGTTTACGCCTAGGCAAGGGGCTATCGGTGGCAGGTCGCGGGCCTCCCGAATACGTGTAACGGTGATTGCTAGGTCCCAGTGAGATAGCGTCTCACCAACATTCCCTAGAGCCATAACCATAATAATCTTACCAAACCTCTTTAAGGTTTTTCAGTAGCTACAGACCAACATGTTGAACCGTGGCTTTGTAGAGTTGACCTCCCGAACTATAAGCAACCACTATGTTGGTCAAAGATAATATAGCCAAAGGAAGAAATATTCAGTGCCGGACATGGGGTGGTTGGGGCTGCCACACCCATACGGATAAGCGCATGTGACTACATACACAGGCTCAGTACCTGTAGTTTTGGAGTTTTTGTGAGCTTCTGTAAAATCTGGCCACCATGTCCACCCTTTCGTGCCAAGATGCAACCTAGTGTGGTACATGCCCTCAGTTGATGATTGTGCTGATGAGGATGGGGAGGGGCCTGAGGCTTTGAGGGACTGTGTTATACCACGACTTCGGAAAAGTACTGATCGGTGGATGCAGATCCCATGCTATGCCCAAGAGACTACAGACTGATGGCTTTGAAGGGCTGGGAGAGGAGTTGAGAGAGGCCCACATACAGTCAGGTCATCCACACAGTGGCGGGTTGTGATGCATGCAGGTCAGGCGCGCAACACCGCTATTACGGCTGTCATTCCCGCCCTCTTGATTCGGCTCTGGATTCTTTTTAGCTTTTCCACCAAGTGTAACAAAACGAGATGAGGACAACAAGTATGCATCTGCAATAAGTACGTAAATATGAGGCCTCACCTCACCATAAATGCCTGCACCTGCGGCGGGACAGCAGACGCTGCAGCTGCATGTCATGCATGATTGGTCAAGGGTCTTGAAGATACCATGCAGGGTTAGAGACATGGTATGGTAAAAAATTATGTTCTTCCGCAAGCCTTCGTGGACGACAGAACTGAGACCCCGTGCTGTCTACATACGGACTTAGGTAAGTCCGTCATTGCAATAATGCGACATCCGAGCCTGCGCGACCTTGCCAAGACCTCAAACATAGGTGTTGGCACAACTCTCAGTTACGAAACAAGATTCACGCCTTCTCGAGGCTGAGAAGCAATTCCGCGCGGATGGAGCTGCTTCTTCTCCTCGCGGAGCTGAAGCTCCATGTTCTCCAAGCGTTACTTCTCGTCATCCTTGCATTATAACAGCCGTCGCGGGCGTAAGTACACACCTACATTAGGTATCGTCGGTTGTGCGCCCATCTTATAACAGGCACGGCAAGCGCTGATGTCGCGGTGGGTGTACGAGCAAGGAGCATGATGCGTATGTCGTATACCCCAGACTAGCATTGTAGCGTTGCCCGCGGCCCCAGAGCGAAGGCAAATGAATTTGGGCAGCACATGCAGGTGACCGGCAGGCGGTAACGCAAATGTTTTATGTGTGCAGGGTGAAGCGGGAGGGGCAGGTTAGCAAGGCGCTTGTGATCCCGTGGCAATTGATACGGGATGCGGAGCTGCCGTCGCAGCTGTCGCTGCCGCTTGGACTCCGTCTTCGTCCTCCTTGACAACGCAGCAACAGCCGCGCTAGCCTCAACTTAGCTAGCGCGGAGTTCAGGAAAAACTCTGGTCGCATGTGCGTCCTTTGCCGGATATCCATTGTCTGGGGACACTGTGTCTGAGCACCGGGTGCCCCACTTCCCTTACAGCGCCGGAACGTACTTGATAGGGCCTTCAATTCATTTTTATGCCAACAATATTAAAAATGAAGGACCAGGCTTACCATTTCCAGAAGGTAACCGAATTTCTTGTAATGCCGTACAGACCTCTTGTAAGTCTCCGGAAGGCACGCAATAAGTAATGGAAGTGCCCAACCAACTGTATACATCTCCAGGTGCCGAGCTTTGTGACGTCGTTACAAGCGCATTTGCTTATACAACATTACTCGCAAGGAGTAGCTGCGCTTTTTCTTGCCTCAATATTCTTGGTTTTCTCGATTTTCTCGATAAAAAATGGCTGATGCTGGCCCATCTGATGCTGGGTACGATCGATGCTAAGCAAGCTGCACGTTGCCACTGACCCTAGATCTCCGCGCCAACGAGATGCATGAACCCGTCCTGTAGGAAGAAGGAGAAGAAGGACTTCAGCACGGCAATCTTGGAGCGTAAGAAGAGCCCAAACCGGCTAATTGTTGAAGAGGCTGTTAACGACGACAACTCGGTGGTGGCGCTGCACCCGAAAACAATGGAAAAGCTGCAGCTCTTCCGTGGCGACACGGTCCTTTTGAAGGTAATTTTTTAGCAAATTAGGTTGTTCAATATGACTGCGTTTATCGGGGCTTCTGTCTGCAGGGGAAGAAAAGGAAGGACACCGTGTGCATTGTTCTCTCCGATGACACGGTGGACGAGAATAAGATTCGCATGAACAAGGTGGTGCGCAAGAACCTTCGCGTTCGCCTTGCAGATATCGTCTCCATACACCAGGTGGGTTTGGGAGTAGTGTGCTGGGGCTCCCCGGGGATTGACGGTGGACGGTATGCTTTCCTACCTAAGAGGTCCCTGTACATTTTGCAGTGCACGGACGTCAAGTATGGAAAGCGCATTCACGTATTGCCGATCGATGACACTATCGAGGGTATTACCGGCAACCTCTTCGACGCCTACCTGAAGCCCTACTTTCTGGAGGCGTACCGGCCTGTGCGCAAGGTATGTAGTTAGGGGGTCATGAACTGCTGCAGTGCCCAACTTTAGTGGGAGGGTCTTCAGATGTAGGTTAAGGGGTTACGGGTTACGGTGTGCTCTCAGTGCGTTAACATACTCGTTACAGAATGCTACAGGGTGGTATAGCTTCACCAGCGGCCCCCTTTCCCGAGGCAGTTCCCTGCTCTCCCCTGCTAGAGGGGCACCCTAATCCATTCTCCCCATCCGACTTCAGAATGTATTCGTTGGGTTTAGCAACTCACCACCAGCATTCAACCAAATCAAGCGGATCAACGGCGCTTTAACTTAGTTCCTGGTCAGATCGGAAGTTGATATAATCACGTCCTACACCGTCCACCGGATGGGGGGCCACCTCCCATTTCAACACCCCTCTCACGCCGAGGTGTCGGCAGGCGGATTTGAACCCGGACACTCCGGGAGCAGAAGTCAGGCCTTAACCTCTGCCAGCCACCTACCTTGCGAGTATGATGTGTGAAACAGGGGGGTGTATCTTCGCCCGTGGCAGCTACCCTGCGAAACCCTGCCTTCCCCGGTATTTCGGGGCACCCTCATCCAGTCACCCTAGTCAACTTCTCAGTGGATCGCTCAGGTTCCGCACCCACCACCAGCATCCAACGGAATCTGCCGGGTCGACAGCGGCCCAACTCCGTTCCTGGTCGGCTCGCAGGTTAACTTTATCCCAGGTCACCACCGTCCATCAACTAGGGGCGCAATGCCTTCCACCATCGGAAGGACTTTGACCCTAACGGGTATCGATCCCGGGATCTCCCGGGGGCAATGGTCGCGCCTTACCAGTGGTGCCAAACCCTCTAAGTATGTCTGCAGGGTTTACATTCGCATACCTTTTCGTTACAGTCTGGGTACCCACCGGCTTGTCAATGTCATGTTGACAACGTCAGCCCCCGAACCAGCGGTGTGCTCATGTATCTTAAGGAGTATATTGTATTGTGGTTACAGTATTTCCGCCGCCGACGCGGCGGGTGCCCTCACGAGCCGTGAGGCTCCAGAGCACGCTGTTGACGCTCATCAAAAACCTCAGTAAGGAAAGTAGCGATTTTCCTCGGATTGGTATTAAGAAATACCTTGCGCATATCAGTATCTTCAACGTTAATCAGAAACCTATTACGCAACTCAGTATACGCCTCACACTCCATGAGCACATGATATTCATCCTCAACCTTACCCGACGTACAGACCTGACACGTACGGCACTCTCTCGGCCTATGGTGTCCTTTGTTGACCTCCAAAGGCCAACAACAAAGACGGAATTTGGCAACCATACGCAACTGGTTGACCGGCAAATAAACACGCAAATAGCCTGTGGGATCGGAGCCCTCTCTTGCTGGTGAAGGGGAGCCCATCCAGTTATGATACCTACAAAGCGAAACCCCTTTACCTTGGAACACACGCGGATCACCCCCTTGGCTGAACTGATCCCAGTCACTTAAAAGGAACGCAGATAACCTCTCCAGAACCTCACCCACTCGAATCAACTGAGACGAGTATACATCTACCTTCTGAGAAACGGAGTCACACGCCGGCCACTCATGGCCCAACCAACGCAAAATGATGAGCACTTTAGACGACCAGCAATCCACTTTGAGATCAGACAGAAGAGCCAGACGGAGATCATCTACTAACACGTCATGATAGACCGACCCACGGGACTTGACTATCTTATTCCAGAAACACAACGCAAGGCGTAACCAAAAGTACTGCAAAGGCAACTGAGACAGCTCCCTGTACAACAGCTTGTAAGGTACCTGCTTGAGCCCAGCACAACG